ACATGTTGAGTGTGGATATTATGTCATCCGCTACATGAATGACATAATTGAGACAGGAACGACTGAGAAATTAGACGAGGTAAAGATGAGTTACGTTGCATGACGTTCTTCAATTCATTTCATATTTTTGACTAAGTTTACTATGTTATTTTTTATTAACAGATATTTCAAAATACTGCGCCATATCTCATGGATGACATCAACTTGATGAGGGACACTTTGTCAACAACATTGGTAGAAAAAATTGAAATTTAGCTTTCAAATAGATAGGTTATTTCTCAAAAAATTCATTGTTAGATATTTTCTCTCAGTTCCCTCTTATATGTACATGTTCATGATTTCCATTGTACAGAGAAGTAGTTACTTCTATTTCAGAATTGTTGGACCTAGCCAATACGTGTTCCTTGGTCTTAATTAACCACCTAGTTCTATTATATTGGCTGGTTCCCTATTTTCGAATTGTGTAAAAGAAATTTCAATGCTGTATATATATCAACTAGCTAATTGATCTTGTTCTGCGTGATCTGCACTGTCTACATTTATTTGGAACTGTAAACTGCAGGGTGGTAAAAATGAAAATCAAGCAGAATTTTTTTTAAAAAAAATGTATTTTTAGCGGCGGTTATATATATAACCGCCGTTAAAATAATATTCCACGGCGGTTTATTTATAAACCACCGTTGAAAGTCAAATTTCAACGGCGGTCAGATGTAAAACCGCCGTGGAAAATCAATTTTCCACGGCGGTTCAAAATCGCCGTGTTTTCTTTACCTTTCAACGTCGCCTTTATCAACTTCGCCTTCAAAACCGCCGTGAAAAGCCTTTTTTCTGGTAGTGATGTAGGCATTTTTTATTGTTTTGATAGGAGATAATATATAATTATATAATTATAATAATTAAATAAAATTGAAAAAAATAAATTTTGGTTAGCTTATTGATTGGCAAGGTAAGTTGAGGTAGGTTGTGGGCTGACGGTATGAGTTTAAAAGCCAACTCTAGTTAACACATCATTTTTGATAGGTTAGACTTCATATTATTAGCTCTAGGAAGAACTATTTAACTAAAATATGTACAAACGACAATGCCCATGAGAGATTTTGTTATTCCTTTTAATTCTTAGATATACTTTGATTCTTTGAATGATATATTTACTTAAAAAAAACAGCTTATTACCAGCAAAATTAGCAATAAAAAATTATTTCGTCACTAATTTCTAATAGATTACCGACAGAAATTCTGTTGCTAAATTTAGCGGTAGAGTTTTTTTGTCGCTAGTTGAAATTCTGTCGCTAATTCAATTAGCGACAGAAGAATTAGAGACGAAACAAATTTTGTTGTTAATTTGATTTAGTCACTAATCTAATTAGTGACAGAAAAATTAGCAACAAAACAAATTCTGTCACTAATTCGATTCCATTGCTAAATAAAAATTCCGTGACTCAATTCTTTTGCTAATTATATGTTTTTTTTGGGTAGGATATTGCTTTCAAGTTCATAGTAGAAGGATATATTTTTATACATAAACAACAAGTCTAAGGCCAGGATTACGTAATTTATTAACAAATCTATCTATTAATTTTAATATATATAAGAATAAGATCGCTATCATTCGTACAAAATCTTCATATCAAAATTAAGGCCTACGCTTACACTTTATAATAAATCAAATAGTTTTTATTAAGATTGACATAACTTTTTTACGTATTACTTGAAATATGAGAAATTAATTAGACTAATTTCAAACATGATCTTAATGTTGACATTAGGCTTCCCTTTGCTGATTTTATCTTTACTTTCTACGTTGGATTTTTTAGGTCGTCACATCTTATTGATCTCTGTAAAATAATAGCTTATTATGCAGCACATCTAGATCGAGATAATTTTTTTTCCCCAATAGCAAAAAGCTTAAGTGAGTATGCTTCCAAGCTTAGAGAATATTAGGTACTTAAAGATTTTCCAAAACAAGATCTTTATATTGGCAATAGAATTTGAATTCATATTCTTATGAGTTATGAACCTATTCGTTACCAATTAGATTAAAGCTTGTTGGCACACTTATGGATAGTTCAACTGCAAATATAGTTTAGAAGGCTAATTTTTGAAATCTGAAGTACTATTTAACTGAATCGCAAGGACAAGCAATAAAAGAATTTTTTTATTCATAGATAAACTTTGAAGGAAATTTTTTTTCAAATGATTAGTAAAAGTATTTTATATACATAAATGAAAAGTCTATGGCCTATCAAGTTTACTATAGCCAACAAACTTCTTGTTATATGCCGCCATTTGCGTTACATCATTGCATAATTTAGAGGTATTAACAAATCTGTTTATCTTAATATATAAAATTATAAGACAGCGATCATTCGTACAAAATTTTTAAACCAAAATTGGCTCCATGCTAGCCCTTTATTCTGGACCACAAATTTTTATCATCAAGTTTACTATAGCCAACAAACTTGTAATATGGACATTTAACATTCTGAGGTTACCCTTCGCTTATTTTCAGTCATTACTTGTGTTCGTTCCTTATAATCCTTGAGTCATAATGATCTTCGCAGAAAAATAGATATAATTTAATTTGATGTAGAATTTACCTAAAATAATACAATTTTAGACTCAAATAATGCTGCACCTTGTTATATATATTGATATATATTGGTATTCTCAATTCAAAGTCCTCAACTGGATTAATGGTCCCCCAACAAAAAAGTTGAATAATAAGTACGACATTGATGGAAGAACTATTTAACTGAAATATTAACAAATCTCGCCAATGAGAGATTTTAGGTTTTAATGCGTAGATGTACTTTGAATGATGTATTGCTTTCAAATTATTAGTAGAAAAATATAATTTTTATACATAAATAACAAGCAGTCCGAGGCCTAGCTTGTCAAGTCTACTTGGGTACAAACTGTGTTATAAGGACATTATCTTATATATAAAAGTACAAGATAGCGATCATTGGTACAAAATTTTAAAACCAAAATTGGGGTCTATGCTTGCCCTTTAATTTATAATGGACCACATAGTTTTGTTAAGATTTACATAATTTTTTTTTATGCACATGGACAGTTTTTTAGCACTAAGGAGAGTTTTTTTTTGCTACCTAATCCACAAATGTACTTAAAGGAAAGCTTTTCGTATTATCAGCATGCTTTTTATACATGAATGAACAAGTCTATCTATTTTAGGCCGGCCTTGTGAAGTTTACAGGTGGACAAATACATCACACATGGACAATTTTCTTCACATCATCACATAATTTAGAAGTATTAAAAATTCTATTAATTTGGGGTTAAGATCCAATTTTAATAATAAAGTTTACTCTAATAGGTATTGGGCATCATAAAGTTTGTTTGGAGGTAAAAATATACATGAAGTTGTCAAAAAGGACATTTGACACCATCCCATTAATGTTTGTTAGTGTACTGTTAGGGGAACCCATGAAATTAGTTTTAAGGTGTATTTTTAACATAAAGTTTACATCAGGAGATATTGGGCATCATAAAGTTTACTTGGATACAAAATTATACATGAATTTTCTAAAAAAAGGGAAAAAATAACAAAGTTCATCAACTCGCATAAACATCTATTAACTTTATTCTTTTGGCTCCTACCAAATGCCACATTTTCTCTTCATCCATTTCCACTTTCAAGTCCATCTATTTTTGTCTTATCATTGTCATCACATACTCTCTCTCTCTCTTGTCATTTTTCTAATCTCCAAGCCTTTTATATGTATTTATCCAAGACAAGATCTTTTCTTTCTAGGATAAAAGGTTCATTGCTTGCACTCAAGTACTATCTCTCGTCCTTAATATAGGATGCAGTTGACTACTTTGGAAAGATTAAATAAATTACTTTAAGAACTATTATATTTATCATTTTTCTTCTAGTTAATTTGCTTACCTTATAACTAATCTATTATCTAATAATGCATATAAATATTTTAGAGAGATCATATAATATATGCTATAATTAGTCTATGATACTAAGGAGGGGAGGCAGTAAGAATGAGTGGAGAGAAAATATGATATTTGGTGGGACATGAAAGAATAAAGTTAAGTGATGTTAATGGGAGTTGATGAATTTTGTTATTTTCCGCTATTAGGAAGTGTGTATATTTTTACATCTAAGTAAACTTTATAGTACCTAGTGTCCTTTGATATAACTTTGTTATTAAAAATGTACATTAAAACTGACTTTAAGAGCTCCACTAATGATAAACTAACATGTTTACTACGTGATACCAGATGCCTATTTTTGATAATTTTGTGTATATTTTTGCACTCAAGTAAACTTTGTGGTATCCAGTACTTTTTTGGATAAACTTTGTTATTAAATTTACATTTCAACTCTTTATTATAATATACATAGAATATGATACTCAGTCGAACAAAAATTTCAAATGAAAATTAGGGCCTATGCTTAATTACTCTTAATAGTACACCAGGTAGTTTCGTTAAGATTTAAATAACTTTCTTTCATGTATGATGCAAAATATATGAAGCTATAGACTAATTTTAAACCGTATATTATTAATCTCAACTTTAGGTTCTTCTTCTTAAGGATATATTGATAGTAGTTTTTGTTTCTATCCCATGTTCTCATCAGTTGGACGAATATAATGGTCCCCCAATCAATAAATTGAATAATACCCTGAGATTAACGAATTAAAAATGTTAAAATAATTACAAAATAATTATGATTAAGAGTTCTTGGGATGAGCTATTGAGCTTTTATATTTTCTCTCAGAAACCTATAGTGTCTGTTGCGGTCGTACATAGTGGTTGACGAGTGCGAAACAATCGATAAAATATCATCAAATGACGTCATCATCGATCAATCATCAATGTTTTAATAAACCAAATAATATACCTATGAAGTGACTCATCCAGTCTTCATATAAACCTGTCAACAATTAAGCTCACTACACACTATTCGCTCCATCGAATATTTAATTTGCCTAGTTGTTTGATCTACGTACGTTTCCTAAATGGCAGAAGAAAAGTCTAAATCCTCCTCTGATCTTTCTCATCTTCCCAAACACTTCCATGAAGACGAAGAGCACCTTTCACAAGAATGCAAGAACCTCATTGCAACGTTACCCACTGAAATGGCCGTGATGAACGTGCCAATTCATCAGTACAATGGTTTCTGGTTCTCCAAAAAGCATATTCAAGGAATCCTAAATTTTCAGAATCACTACCAATCTCATGATTCTGACATCCTCCTTGTAACCTTCCCAAAAGCTGGCACCACTTGGCTCAAAGCCCTAACCTTCACTATTCTCAATCGCAAGACCTATGATCCAAAACCAACCCGAACTCCTCAAAATCCTCATCCTCTACTCACTTCTAGTCCTCATGACCTCGTACCCTTCGTAGAGTACTGCGATGATCTCCAGAAGGCCATCGCTTATGCGGGCTCATTCTCATCATCATCATCACCAAGGCTCTTACAATGCCAGGTCCCATATGTTTTGTTGCCAGAGTCTGTGAAGCAATCTGGGTGTAACATTGTTTACTTGTGTAGAAACCCTAAGGACTTGTTTGTTTCGTCATGGAAATTCATGAACAAGTTATTAGAAGCAGAAGGGCAAGGGTTGGTTTCAATTGAGGATGCATTTGAGAAATTTTGTGAAGGATTGGTTGGTTACGGGCCATTTTGGGATCACATGTTGGGATACCACAAGGAAAGTTTGAAGAGTCCAGAGAAGGTAATGTTTCTGAGATACGAGCAGCTCAAGAGTGAGCCTGTTAGGGTTGTAAAGAACCTAGCTGAGTTCATGGGTTGTGGTTTTTCTCAAGAGGAGGAAAAAGATGGTAATGTGGCAGCTGATATATTGGAGCTTTGTAGTTTTGAAAGTTTGAGTAATATGGAAGTGAATAAGCCTGGCAACTCATGGCGCAATATAGAGAATAATGCTTTCTTTAGACGTGGAGAAGTCGGAGACTGGAAGAATTTCTTCACATTTGATATGGTCCAACGTCTAAACGTTATTACTGAGGAAAAGTTGGAGAAACATGGCTTGAAGTTTTAGATCCATGTATACGTTCCTTGGAAACATCTGGTGTACCTAAAAGAAGTGCCAAGGTTTGAATAAAACTTTTACGGGCAGTGTCTATCACTTTTTGAATGTTTCATAAAAATTTTCATCTAAATAAATTACTTGTTTATTTTATTCTCTTATTCTCTTTTTTTTTTTTGGTATATTTAATATTTCATGGGGGAAAAAAAAACGTTGTTGTTGTTGTTTGAGGACCATGATTATTGATAAATGTATCTTTGGCAGTCTATATTTCTTTTATCAGGGCTTATTTGATTGTCAATAACCGTCGATAAAAATTATCATAAAAAATCATATTATCACATAAAGTAAACTGTTTATCATATTTATCGACTTATAAAATACCCAAGCCCAATCAATGTACACTACTAAAGTTGACACACTTATTCTAGTTTCAACATTTGTTATTAAATATTTTCAACAATTTGATCCATTGAAAATAGATTGATTTATATATGAAGAATTGCAAATCCAAGAGAAAAAAAAGATTGTATGATACGATGGCGCATAAGAAAAATAATAGAGGTATAATTTTGTAATTTGATTGAAAACATTTAAGCAAGATATTGGCTAAATTATTTACTTATTCCCATAGCTTTATCTTTAATCCCGTCTTGGTTAGTGATTTTTTTTTTTGGGAAAATTAAGGCAAAGGACTTAGAAAAATATTAATTATTAATTAATTATTAGGAAGGATCTTAAAAATTGTATTTAATTTGAAAGAACAAAAACTGAAGTATACCTGCGCAAAATACTAAATTGCCCCTGTTCTACGTTTTCTCTCACCAGACTCCGATGAATCTCTCTTTTTCTTGGTTACATATGAATCGCTCTTTCTCTTCATCTTGATCAGCTGTATTTCTCAGCCAGTTCATACTGTTCCTTTTAATTTCATCTTCTTTTGTAAGTAAATTCTTCGTTGCATCTCTCTGTCTCTGTCTCTCTCTCTATCTTCGCTATGAATGTCTTATGGCCTATACGCATTTAATGTTTTAACATCTTAAAACATTAAACGTATCATTTTACCATAAAAAAAAATAAGGCAATAATATTCCATTTTGATAGGATTTATGCTTAAATCAATACTTTAATTAAAATGTCTTATACATTTACAATTATATACTATGTACATACAAAAATGTTTTTAATTGTTCTACCAATTTGATAAGTAAAGTTTAATATGTTGTGTGTATGTATGCATATGTGTATATATTGAAATAAATATAAATGTTACGTTGATATTTATATATTAATATTATATGCATTTACATTACATGTTTTAAAATATTTTTATATATCACAATTTATATATATATATATATATATATAGATATATGTGCTTGTCATGTTTAATATGTGCACACACACATATATAATTTTGTATTAAGAGATTGTAGATTTATTCTAGCTCACATGAAGAGTAGATCCGGGTTCGAATCTTGGGGAAGGCACTTATGCGGTGCAAGAAGGCATTGACACATGGCAAGCGAGGTCACAGTGACATGGCAACACGTGGCAGCTAGGTGATGATGTGGCAGTGGCTAGAAGTGATGATATGGAGGTGGTTGGTCGAGTAGTGATGACATGGTGTAACCATATAATTAATTTTTTTTCTTACAGTGATAGTTTTCAATGGCGACCAAAAAGTCACCACTGAAAGTACTTTTTGTGATGACATTTTGTTTCTGCTGAAAATACTTTGTACAAAGACTTTCATTGTTGCTGCTTAAAGTACCCTTCATCCCTTTGGCGGCGACTTATCTTTTAGTGACGACAGGATCTATTTTTAGCTGCGACAAAAGTCCCCACTGAATCTTACTTTCAGTGGCAACTCATTTTGTCACCACTATATGTATCAGCCACAGTTGTTACAATGATGACTTTTTGTTTTCATTGAACCTTCAGTAGCGACTTTTTGAAAGTCAATTTTTTTGTAGTGGCTCTAGGAGAGCTTCGGCCTAATGTTTTGATAGTAACATATTGTTCACCATTTAGCTTAACCGCAAACACACAGGTCGCAATTAGTATAAAAAGTTATTGTTCCCTCATAAATTAATTAAGGCCAGACGAGTTAAAAATCACAATTGTGCTCATAATTAGATTAAGTGAACTTAATGTGTGAATGAAGTTGCTTATAGTACTTTAAAAACAAAGATAAAAATCAAAGCAAAATAAACTTGACTTTGAGACAAATAAGGATCTAGGGTTATTTTCTTACTATTGTACTTCATAAAACTTGATTAGAAACTTCTCATTTAGTGTTTAATAATAAATTAAGTTAGCTTAAGATTCACAAATATTGATTAAGCTTTCTCAAGTCAAAATCAAGTTTTGTAATCTTAATAAAACTTCACAATCTCTTGCTTTTGTTTTCAAAAGATTATACTTTAAAAACCAAAACCCCTTTTAGATAATGCTAGGTCAATAGATATATCTCTATTCTATCAACTAACCATCTATTTAATAGCATAAACTTCAAGTCTAGCATGTTTTTACCCAATTTGAAAGATCAATTTAACTTTTTCAAGCATCAACCGATCAAACAAATAACTCTAAATGGTGGCCAATTACAAGGAAGCACTAAGCTCAAGATAAAAAACAACATGACATTATCATTAACACTAAAGAGAGACTCAAAACAAGTCTTAATCCATATAATAGATCAAAATATCCCTAGAATGACTACTCTCACTACACATATTCAGTAAAGAACCACAAATACAAAGATATTTCCCACCCATTACAGAAACAAAGGAGAAGAGAAGAAGACCACCAAGAAAAGTGAAGAAAGAAGATCCAAATTTCTTGCAAACTTCAAGCCTAATGCTCTCAAGTCTTAAAATCTCCAAACCCTAGCAAAGAACATCTCCAAATAGGTCTCCAAGTCGGAGTCTGGCTAAAAACCACGAGCTCCCTCTTTTAGATGCCCTAAATTTTAAGTTACAATGTAAAACGTATAGTCGTGCAGGGACAGGAGCCGCGATAGATAGACTCATCCGCTGTGGTAGATTACATAGAGAGGGAACTCTTTAGAAGGGATTGGGCGCTACGGCAAATTTATGCAAGCGCCATGATGCTTAATACAAAATACCTCTCCTTCCTTTCTACTATAGAGGCCACAATGGATTGCTCCAGGTGTCATGACGGACTGTATGTTTTTGGTCTTTTTTACTTGGTTCTTCGATTCTTTCTTGCTCTATGTGCATGATCTTCCTTGATCAACCAAAGTAGACTGAATATTTCTTCTTGTTGTTCATCTCTCAGCTCTCGCTATTTCCTACACCATGAATTTTAGAGGCATTATACAAATAATCCCCAAATATTAGAACAAATCAACTTTCACATTTTCAAATCATATTTTTCAGCTTTACGAGAATAACTCTGCAGAATTAGCTTCCAAAACACAAAAAAGATTGTTAAAACAGGCTACATCGGTAGGAATTTCGAGAGGGTATCACATATTATGCCTAATTTGTTATAAAGAAATTGAATTAATAAGTAATATTTTTAATTAAGAAGTAATTAGGAGGACTTCGGCCTAATATGTTTCGATAGAAATTGATTTCTCTAAGATACTTAAGCAAACATAATCCGAAATGACTCCCTAAATTTACTAAAAAAATTATCTCAAACATGCATTTTTGAAAGCCAAGCGAACAAACAATGAAGTCTTGTTTAATGTTGTTTATTGTTCTTCTGTAATAAATGCCAAGTGCACTAACGATGTTTTATTCTAGGAAACGTCTCATATAAAAGCTCTAACCATAGTTTGATCCTATCATTTGAATGTTGTTTAAGGTTTGTTTTACTGTGAGCATAGCCACTTTAAAACTCCGTGATCTCACATATCTAAGTTTTCAATACCACACACTCATAACTGAATCCATGGAAGATCACAAAGGGTCCACGTTAATACAGTATAATCACGGTTTTCAATGTATGTTATGTCAAGTGATACAAAATAATTAAAATGTGCATAATCTATATTCGGGCAACCACCCCAACTGAAATGTGTATAGTAGAATGTGAGATGATATGTAATGTTTGAAAGTATCTTGAATATGATTATCTTTAATAAAAAAATATCTATGGATAGTTAAAAAGAAGAAGAAGAATGTGGGAGAACACTCTGCTAAATGCAAATTGTGTTTAAAAATATTCAAGTAGACTATCCTATCTCTCCATGTCGCTTTATTACCTTCTGAACTTCAAGAAATTTCTGGCATCCACCTATATATATATATTTATATATATATATATGTATGTATGTACGTTGATCCAAGAATTTTTTTTTTTCTTTTTTGACTTCTAGAATAAGCACTTACTAACTCAAGAGAAGCCTTCGGTTGAAGCTCAATGTCCGCGAGGGTCAATTTCATGAGCTAGAAACTTAAGCATAACCGCTGAGGCGAGGGCTTATCTTCTGGTCCCTCCTTGTGGTCCTCGTTTTGTCCCCTTCTTCATCGTACATTAATTTTCAGCTGACGGACCAGTATATATAATCTCAAATATCACTGGGAATCTTGTAAGCTTAAAGGATGTTACTTTCCCACCTCCCACTTGTGCCAAGACAAATATAATATAATATGCTAGAGCTGTAAATCATCTAGGAGATGGTTTCTGGGGAACTAAGTCATGACGCTATTGTTTAATTTCATTTTAGGATTTTGGCCTTCGTTTTTTTTATAAATGCATATTTTTATAATTAAATTGATGTAGATTTGGGAAAATGCTGGATTAAATTTATAAAAATTTTAATCCTATTTAATTTGATTCATTCACTTTTTCCTAAATTTGTATCAGGATAACATGGAAATTTGCTATAAAATCTAGCTACTTGCATCCTTTTTATTACGTCAGAAATATTATAAAATTTGGGGTATAAGAAAATATTATAAAATTTTGTGTGTATATATATAAAAGATATTAAGATGTGAATTAAAAGAATTGCCTCAGAGAAAAAGCGTGGGTGT